GGCTTCAATGACAAGGGAGAGCTCAAGCTGACGCCATACCACCACTTGCTTGCCCGCAGCCGCACCCGTGGCTACTCGCTGAAACTTAAGAAGTGGCTCGACTTCTATATCGAGCAGGTTGCCGAGGTGACTTGGAACACCAACGCGTTCGACAAGCTGGTGCTGCCGGCCGACCAGAAGGAGCTCATCCTCGCCTTCTCCGAGTCGCAGCTCGAGGGCAGCAGCTTTGACGACGTCATCTCTGGCAAGGGCAAGGGCATCATCTGCTTGCTGTCCGGCCCGCCCGGTGTCGGCAAGACGCTGACGGCAGAGGCGGTAGCCGAGAACCTCAAAGTCCCATTGCATTCCCTAAGTTCAGGGGATCTGGGTAGCGACCCGTGGGAGGTGGAGCGCGGGCTGTCGTCGATCCTCGAGCTGGTGTCGCGGTGGAACGCAATCCTGCTGCTGGACGAGTGCGATGTCTTCCTCGAGTCGCGTGCGACGCACGACCTGGAGCGCAACAAGGTGGTGTCCATCTTCCTGCGGACGCTCGAGTACTACGAGGGCATCATGTTCATGACGACGAACCGTGTCGACAACATTGACGCCGCGTTCCAGTCGCGCATCCACGTCAGCCTCGAGTACCCCGACCTGACGTCGGCATCGCGCCGGCAGATCTGGACCAACTTCCTAAAGGGAGCCACCATCAAGAGCGGCGTGACCAATGCCGAGATCGAGCAGCTGTCGGAGCTCAAGCTCAACGGCAGACAGATCAAGAACATCCTCAAGACGGCGCAGCTCCTGGCCGCCAGGAAGAAGAGTCCCGTACTCGACCGCAAGTTCATCGACACGGTGCTGGCAATCGAGAAGAAGAGGCCCGGAGCCCCCTCGACGTTGACACACTACCTCTAAGGGGTTTAAGGCGAGGAGTCGGACGAGGTCATGCAGCATCGAGGGGTTCGTTCTGGTTCCGGGATTCGGGGTTCGGGGTTCGGCCGGCGCACACATACATCTGCTGTTTTCGTGCTATTTGGGTTTTGTAGATGCAGCTGGTTGGTGCGTGGATGTTGGGAATAGCGATACCAAACGTCTTCTTTGTCAGGGATTTACAGCACGACAGCGGGCGTTGCTTGAAGAGCATGGATGGATTTCCTTTCATATACACGTGCAACTTAAAATTGAATTACATACACATTTTCGCGCTTGTTTCCCTGGTCCGGCCGTAATGAAGATGAAACCTGCGTGAAAAGAAGCAAAAAAAACAACACCCCCCCCCCCCCCCCCCCTTTTTTTTTTTTTTTTTTTTTTTTTTTTTCCCAGTGGGGACCTCATTATTTACCGAAGATTCACCAACTCCTCCTCCTCGACGTCAACATGCTCAGGCTCGTTGCTAAACTTGGTGACCTCATCCTTCTTTGCGCTCTGGATCTCAGCGAGAAATTTGGCGCCGGCCTCCTTGTCGCCGGCAAAAAGCGTGTCGGCGACCTGGCGCTGGGGCGTCTCGCCCAGCCACTGGAACAGCGAAAAGTCGCGGAACTCGTCAGCACGGAACACCTCGAGCATCTCGACGGGCTCGTCGCCAATGTTCTCGACGAAATGGCCCATGTTGGCGGGGACGATGCCGACGTCGCCGGGGGTGTAGTCAAAGGTGCGGGCAGTTCCCGACGAGGCAAAGACGGTCACGCGGGCGCGGCCGCGGATGAAGAAGGACCACTCGTCGGCATTGGGGTGCCAGTGCATCTCGCGCAGCGCACCGGGCTCGATGATGACGTGGGCGGCAGCCACGGTCTTGGAGATGGGGAAGTTCTTGGAGTCGGTGATGCGCACCTCGCCGCCCGATGTCTTGTGCGGCTCCTGGTCGAGCATCTTGTGGGTGAACTGGTACTTTGACTTCTTGACGAACTTGCCGCGGGGCTCCTCGTCCTTGATGGGCCCCGGGAGCGAGCCCTGGAAGATGTACTTCTCCGTCTTGGGGATGTGGTCGAAAACCTCGGGCGGCAGGTGGAAGTTCTCGGCCAGGACGGAGCGCGGCGTGTGCATGAGCCAGTCGGTCAGCAGAAAGGTCGACTCCTCGGAAAAGCCGCCATCGTCAAAAACCAGCAGGAACTCGGTGCCGTTCTCGCCCAGGCCCTGCAGCGAGTGCGGCACGCCGCTGGGAAAGTACCACAGGTCGCCCTTCTTCAGGTCATCGATAAAGCTGCCGCCCTCGTAGTCGAGCGCTGTCACGCGCACCTCGCCGTCGAGCACGTAGGCCCACTCGGCCTCCTTGTGCCAGTGCAGCTCGCGGATGACGCCCTCGCCCAGGCGCATGTTGACGCCTGCCAGCTGCGTGCTGGTGCCCAGCTCGCGCACTGTTGTCTGCCGTGTCCATCCGCCCTCCTGTGCCCCGCCATGGCCACCAATCAGCACACATTCACAATTTCAGGAAACCTCGACAGCGAATAGCAACAAGAGAAACTAACCCCGATCCGAATGTGCGAATCCACAAAACTCCACCTCAAATTCGGCACATCGCCGCTGTCGGTCGATGGTGGCCGTACGAGATCTGGGTTCTGGCGCGCCCGCTCTGGGTTCCAGGGCCCCAGTACAGACCCGCCAAGTCCGTTGCGGTACGGCAGCGGGTCGAGCTTGTTGCCGACCGAGTCGACGGCCGAGTCGAGCGGGTCCCGGAACCCGGGCGTGTACGGGTTGGTCGGGGTGGTGCCCTTCTTGCGGAAGCGGGCCGGGAGCGGCTTGCCGTCGAGCAGCCGCTGGCGCGGGCTGTCCTGCACCGGGACGGCGAGAGTCAGTGTGGCGGCCGCCGCGAGCAGGAAGCTGGCGGATGGGAGGTGCATGGCGTGCTGGGTCGTGTGCTTTGCTTGGCAGCGGTGTGGTCGGGAATGAGTGAGCCAGGAGCAAGGAGGGAGACAATGATCAATGGCAACGGGAGGGGTCGAGCATGTCAAAGGCGTTATTTATACCCAAACAAGTCTTGTTGCGGTCCCCTACCCGAGAACTCGAACGATGCTGCTGCTGCTGCTTGTACGGCACGCTAACCGTGGCTACCTTACCTATGTGTACACACACACACACACACACACACACACCACCCGTACGGCCTATCCCCACTCTAGACCGCTAATGCTCAGAGCCTTGTGGGATCACCCAATGCACCGTATTACAATTTGCTGCCAACCAAGTGGCCGACGACGACCGACCGACGATGCCGAACAATGCCCGGGGAGGGTTGCTGCTCCCCCCTTCTCACCCCGCATCGTTGCCCTTTCCGAACATGCTCGATCCGTGCGGGGGCGGGGGAGAGCATGGACAAAACACAGGCCTGCAAAGGCCATAATACGAACACCGAACACTGAACCTGACGGGGGTGTCTCGCCGATGCGAGCACTTCGCCAAAAGCAGCAGGAGACGGGCACCACGGGCAAGACAGGGTGCTGAGTAACCGCCGCGAGATGTGACGGGTAATGCCCTTGACTGCAGCAGCCTCGACAATGCAGCGGCGAATGGCTTTGCAAGCCAATCCAATGACATCATTGCCGAGGCTGGGGATTGGCAATTGGAAGCTCCCCTTCTTGTTCCCTTCTTGTTCCCCATGTCTCTCGGCTGCGGACTGCCTCCCCCCCCCCGCTGAGAAGTAACCGGCGAACAAAAATCAAGCTAGCATTTCTTACAGTGCTGAATCAGGGTCTGGTGGGCGGGCGGTGACCGCACCAACCTGAGACCTGCCAGCCCAAAATTCGGGGAACTGGCCATTGAATTCGCCATTGGCTTAGCCTGGTTTGGTTCCATTGGCTGGAGTCTCGGAGTGCAGCGATATTTATAATTCCACCACCACCCCTGATTGACTTGCACAACAGCTTGAATCGTGGATTCGGATTCTCAAGCTGATGCAACACCAAAAACCCCCTCTCCCCCACATTCACTCGCACCACCGCAGCCATGCCATCCCGACCCAATGAAGAAACGCCACTGCTGAACCCAATAAAGCCGCCGTCGCGCTCGATAGCGACGCGATGGCGCAAACACATGCTCGTAGACGTAAACCGCGACTGGGCCGACGTCGTCCTCATCCTGTGCTACCTCATCACTGGTCTGCTCGACAGCGCCTCCATCTCGGTATGGGGTTCTTTCGTGTCAATGCAAACCGGTAATACGCCCACCCCCCCTCCCCCCAAGCCCTAAACTCACCCCAGACAGGTAACACGGTCTACATCGGCCTCGGTCTGGCCGCCCCCAGCGAGTCAACCCGCTGGATCAAGTCGGGCTGCTCCCTCATCTCCTTCTGCCTCGGCTCCTTCGTCTTCAGCCGCTTCCACCGCTTCTTCTCCCCCAAGCGCCGCTGGGTCCTGTGCGCCTCGTTCGCCGCCCAGGTCGCCCTGACCACCGGCGCCGCCCTCATCGTCACCGCCACCGGCCCGCCCGCCAGCAAGGAGCAGATCGGCTGGCACATCCTGCTGCCCATCGCCATGGTTGCCTTCCAGAGCTGCGGTCAAGCCGTCACCAGCAGGGCGCTCAAGTACAACGCGCTGACGAGTGTCGTGTTGACGAGCATTTATTGTGATTTGTTCTCAGACGCCGAGCTGTTCTCAATCAAGAATGCCGAGAGGAATAGGAGGCTAGGCGCACCCTTCTTCTTGCTGCTCGGGGCCTTTTTGGGCGGCAAGTTGGCCCATACCGAGCTCGGGGTCGCTGGCGCGCTGTGGACGGCCTCGGTGCTCAAGACTATTGTGGTCTTTGTTTGGCTGTTTTGGCCGGCAGATCCCGATTCCGAGGAGGAAGATTAGGGGTCGAAGGCTGGTGCCATGATGGATATGGGCGAAAAGCGCATGGATGCCGAGATGCGATCCCCTCTGAGTCCTCCTGGGTTCAATCCAAAGAAAGGACACATGTTGAAGCCTGAGAATCAAAATAACACACATGTTAGCTCCTGGATATGTGAGGCCTTCAACAACATTCAAGCACATTGTTTTCTTGCAACGTCCGTGGCATAGACTGCGAGGCCACTGTCCACAACAAGAAAGGACTGCCTGTTGTAGGAATCGAGCGTATGATTTTTGCATATCGTGAGTGGATACAAGTGCAACGCATTAGCCACTATGCTAAACAGGCTTCTTGTCTCGTTTTATGTAGGCGAGTTGTTTTGAATCCTTCACTCTCGGTGGGCAGATCTCTATCAGAGGAATGGAACCATCTCTCCACGCCTCGAGTGCCGCCATGATCACATCGTTTACCGCTGCCATCAACTAGGAAAGTACCGACTCGAGATCAGGAGGGTAAATCGTTCGGGCTGGAAACGAAGCTACCGAAAGATTCGAGGTGGGGACTGGTGTCATTTTGCTACCTAGGTTTGCTTATTTTTCGGTCGATGGGGCGGATGAGAGATTAGAGCAGCTTGGGAGTTGCACCGGCCGTACCAAAGTGAAAGGGGGTAAACTACCTTCGCTTTTTGTCAGTGGTCACAGCCTCCCAAACATTAAAACCCCAAGGTTAAGTTCTCGGTCAGCTTGAAGCACCCCAACTAAGAGCAGAGATGACTCACAAGGCCACAAGGCACCGTTGATGCCATAGTTCAAGCCCAGAGAAATTGTATAAGTATGACCGCCTGCTGCTCTCTCTTCGACCCAACTTTTTTTTCCCTCACACATTCTCGTGCAGCCTCCACAACTCTCAAACCACGGAACGCGAAGAAGCCTCACCAAAAGACTTTTCATCAGAAAAGTCCTAGGAAGACAAGTGATCGTCATGTCGAAGATCACAGTCGCCGGTGTTCGCACGCAGGTCCAGGAGGTCCTAAAATACGCCAACGACAAGCGCAAGCGCAACTTCGTCGAAACCGTCGAACTGCAGATATCTCTCAAGGGATATGACGCCCAGCGCGACAAGCGCTTCTCGGGTGCCGTTCGCCTGCCCCTCGCCCCTCGCCCGCAAATGGCCATTTGCCTCCTCGGTGATCAGCACGACCTTGACCGCGCCAAGCACCACGGCATCGATGCCATGTCGGTCGACGACCTAAAGAAGCTGAACAAGAACAAGAAGCTGATTAAGAAGCTTGCCCGCAAGTACGAGGCCTTTGTCGCCTCAGAGGCCCTGCTCCGCCAGATTCCGCGACTTCTAGGCCCAGGGCTGACGAGAGGTAAGTCTTGTCTTCCGCGTGCTCCTTTTTCCTGAGCTTTAGCTGACAGGAATATGTACAGCCGGTAGATTCCCCACGGCAATTTCTCACTCTGACGACCTCTGCGGCAAAGTTATGGACGTCAAGTCGACCATCAAATTCCAGCTCAAGAAGATTCTGTGTCTGGCCGTGGCGGTTGGACATGTGCAGATGACAGCAGATCAGCTGGTGGGGAACCTGATGTTGGCCATCAGCTATATGGTTTCGCTGCTCAAGAAAGGTTGGCAGAATGTCGGTAGCTTGGTCATCAAGTCCACAATGTCCCCTGCTCGCCGCCTTTACTGAGCCCCGTCGGCGTACTGTTTGGAGCGGTCGCTAGACAGGCGAGGGGTAGGTGGGAGCAGATGTCTGGTGGCTTTGAGAGGGATTCGAGGTCGCTTATACCGTTTGCTGGTTTGCCGCCTTTACTGAGCCCGGTCGGCAAACTGTTTGGAGCAGTTGCGGGACAGGCAAGGGAGAGGCGGGGCCAGGCTTGAGGGGACCGGAATCATCGGTAATGGCAAACTGATGCTTGGCACCAAGACTTCGCTTTCGCGAAAGACTCTTCTTGGCCGAGGGGCAGAATGGGTAGATCGACAAAAGAGATAGACAATACACACTTTGGCCGGTGGCAAATATGTGGACCTGAAGCTGGCTCGATGTGTTGTCGCCGTCAATCGTTCGCCCTCACGGCGAAGCAAGTAAAAGGCGAGGTAACGGGAGAAATCTATCTAATTTGCAATGCGCCAGATGTAAGCAGGAAAAAAACAGAACTATCCCCATATTACAGGTACCATATCAACACGCCAGCACAAATGTCACAAGTGTCAGTTTATCAATCATTAGCAATCTCTGCCACCATAGTGCGAGTGTCTCGGATGTCCAGGCCACCAGGTTGAGTATGTGCTGTAGTCTGAAGAAGTTAGTTGAGGACCACTTCCTCCGACACCAAAACTTACCTCGCCGTGTGCTAATCCCAAGTCGGTCAGCAACATTGACATAGCCCTCCACATTCGTATTCCCCTTCTCAATTTTTTTCACCATGTCGTTATCTTCCTCCCACAAGCTCCGACAGTACGGACATGTCACTGTGGCCTGGCCTTGCCTTTTGGTCTTCGCCCACATCTCGAAGCACGCCTTGTGTACGTTCTGCCCGCACGCCGCGCGACACCAAACCAGCGCCTCGCCACCCCCTGCCTTCATTTCCTCGAAGCAAATCGGGCAATCCCCATCGACCTCCTTCCGTTTGCCATGGCCGCCCCCAATTTCCGCATCCTTATCTTGGATCGGGGGCGCACGGGCAAAGATCTCGCGCAGCTCGTCGCTCAGAAGCGCAAGCTGGTAGACGTGCTCAAACTTGGCGCGCAAAACACGTGCCATGACGTAGACAATGTGCTTACAATGCTGCCGTTGAGCACCCATGGGGCACGAGCAGGTCGGCTCGCGATCGATTGTCACTGTATAGATGTTGCCGGTGGAGCCTGTCATTTCGACTTCCTCGCTGGGGCAGTCGCTCGTGCCGCCACGTGTGCGGGACAATACATAGAAGCGTTGGGTGGTTGCGCGGCTGTAAATTTCGGCGAAAGCCTTCGGCGGTTGGGAACGGAACCTAGACAGGCAGGTGGCTATCGTTAGGATGAATGAATGAGTGTGAGGGAGGTGGAAACGGGCAAGCGTACCGTCGCAATCGCTTTTCAGTCGCAACTTTTGGCTTTTTGGAGGGCGTGGTGACAGGACCACTGGCCCAGTTTTTGGGGCCATCATCACGCTTCCGCTTCTCGCCGGAAGCTGTTTGCCTCGCGGGCCAAGCTTGTGTACCCTTGTTTTCCATTTTTTCAGCAGGTTCTAGGCAGTCCTTGATGTTGACAATGTTTTGACTGAAAAGGGATTTTACGGTGGGAAAATGAGCTTCGAGTCTTGACCAATCGTGGTATTAAAGCGATTGGCATGAGTAGCGCAAGTGACGATTAGCAGATCGAAGCTGAGCGTTCTTGGCAAGCACCAACCCGTCCCGCCTTCATGTGACCGTGCCTGCCTTGTGTGTTGAAGGTATCTCCATCACCAACCCTAACCCTTGTTTTCAACTTGAGTCTTACCCACCTCAGTTGGACTGGGCAAGACGGAATAGGACTTCACATTTACAGCTGGGTGTCAATATAGAATGACAAATATGGTTACGATCTATTTGATTGTGTTAGTTTTCTTACAATAAAAAATGGAAGCAGTTCAATACATACGGCATATATGAATTGCGGCCGTTTTAGACTGGGCAAACCAAATATCCCCTCGGGCCAACAGTTGGCTGGATGTATATATTTCCTCCTCTAGTAGCTCTCGACTAATCTACTATCAACTAACAGTATTTCATGCTTCTTCTTACAGAGAGCTTTTGTCTCTCCTATAGGTACACCATCGGTATTCCCGGGGATTGCTCACAGCCCTGGTCTCCCTTGTCAAACACTTTGTGGGTGATAGCCGGCGATGCTGTGCAGTTAGCAAACAAGCTTTTAGTGGCGGGCATGTACGACTCCCTCTCAGGGGCTGTTTGGCCAGGCGGCAGGGCAGGTGCAGGCACCGTGGCCAGTTGCCAATAACTGGCAAACATTAGTGTGATTTACTCTTCCCTGCCTTCCTTCGCCAAATACAAGCCTTTGGCTGAGCCGTTGCCCCTTCCCAAACTACTACCTAGCTTTAGCAGCACGCACGACCTTTGCCTTTTTCGCCTCTCACAAATCACCTTCCCCTCCAAATCTCATCCCACGACGACTTCAAGGGCACACACGAAGACCTGCCGCCCTTCGCTACCATCGGCGCTGCCCTTGATCTAGTGCCGGCTCCACCCTTTGCTGGCCCCCAACCAGCCTTATTCGCCAAATACACTAGGTTTCCTGCAGACCAAGCGTTTTTATTTTGCCCTTTCCTCACCTGGGAGAATCACTCGGATGATTCCAAACTCTCCCAATTTCTTGCACGTTTCTCGTCCCCAGGACTTGCCTACCCAACACTCATCCCTCCCACTCGCTCCTCCAGTTCAACTGCTGTAAGCTTGTGGTCCTGACTCTCTTCTCTCTCTCTGTATTTCGTCAAACTGCTTTCCGGTGACTGACATACCTCACCCCCAGGCTATTTCTTGGACGCTCATCAGACACCACAACAAAGGCGTCGCTAATACATGTGCCGTCAGAACCACATCACCACTATGGTGGGCGCTGTTCAGTCTGGTGATCAGGTCAGTATTTTCATCCCAATTGGTCTGCCAGTCTGCCTTGCCTTGATTTTTGCAATCCACTGTCGTACAAGTTCGCAATTATTTTCGTCAACTAACGTGTGATAGCTCCCTTGGACGTGCAAGGCGGAGCTTCCTGAACCCGAAGAAATTCTGGCACTAGCCTCACCCGAAACATTGCCCCACAACCCAGTGGACCAGCCATGGGAGTCCAAACATGCGTATCTCTCTGCCCAGTACAATATCCTTCGATGCGAAGCCACTGAGGGACTTCGATTCTCGGTACGAAGCTACATCGATGCGAGCCACTTCGAGGGGGAAATGAAAGACGATGACTACTCTTGGGTCTATCACGAGGTAAGAGCTCCCGAGCATCTTGCTTATACTAATGTTTTCCTTTCATGCTTTGTCTTTGAACTCGTATATTTGCTGACCTGCCTAGGTGCGGGTGAAAGCCTACCTCATGTCGAGACTTGGTCCGATTGTGCGTGTCGGACTCACACCTTCGCAAAGGGTCAGCTGGCAGCAGTCCAAGCGACTTATGCCCGGAAAGGTTGTAGCGCTCAGCCCGAAAGCTGATGGATTCAGAAGACACTGCCTGGTTGCGACAGTCGCCCAACGCCCCTACCGTGACGGCTTAGATCAAGACCCACCACTTGTCGACCTCATCTGGGCGAAATCTACCGAAGCTGTTTTCGACCCATCCCTAGAGATGGTGCTGGTAGAGCCTCG